TAAATGACAGGTGCTGTCTTACTGTCTAGTATGTCAAGTGCTGGCTTGTAAGGTCTCTTTTTGCAGTAAAATGTTTTCAGAAAATATGGTTCAAGTGATCGTCAGAAAGAGTTGTATTATGCCTCTTTGTTTATTAAAAATCTTTTTATTTATTAAAAACCTTTTTGTTTAATATAGTCTTTTTATTTATTAAATGCCTTTTTGTTTGTTAAAAAATCTTTTTGTTTATTAAGTCTTTTTATTTATTAAAAGATTTTTTATTTACTTTTGTTTATTAAAAATCTTTTTGTTTATTAATAACTTTTTTGTTTATTAAAATAACTTTTATTTATTAAAAGCCTCTTTGTTTATTAAATATCTTTTTGTTTATTAAAGCCTTTTTTGTTTATTAAAATAATTTATATTTATTAAAAGCCTCTTTGTTTATTAAAAGCCTTTTTGTTTATTAAAAAATTAGATGATAAATATCTTTACCTTTAAAAATTTAAATTAATTAAAGCGGGCCGGGCCGGGCTGGCAAAAATTTTTTACAGTAACCCTAATTGCAGACGGGCCTGGCCGCAAAATTAGGAATTTGCAGGCCTCTAGTACAGAGGCGTAACTTCAAATTTCGGCCAAATTAAGCTTAATTCGGGCCGAAATTTGAAACAACGCCCCTACGTTATTTAGATTCTATACGGTAATAAGAAAAAAGTCATCCTAAAATTTTATAATTTAGACATAATCAGTTCAGGAGTGTGTTATATATGATATTATTATAAATACTGTAATGAAAATCACGATTTTCATATTTTGGCATTATTAAATTGGTTTTCTATGAATTTTCAGTTCAAAACTCATTATAAAGAGAACTATTGATTAATAAGCAAACGTAGAAGGTTGTATTTTAATTTTTAATCATTCTAATCCTAATTCTAACCATAGTACATTTAAATTTTGCCACGCTAGTTCTTTAAAATAGATAAATATTGATGAATGCCATATTAATAAGACAAAATGACATGCAAAAATATGATTAATCGAAACATCAGACTGTTTTTATACTTACATTCAAACTTTCAGACACACTCGTTGTTTTTTTAATTCACTTTTAATATACTACCCATGTAAAAGGGCAAATAATACAATTATTCACATGTAAATAATTAATAAATTTGTTGAATATACTTTAAACTTGCATAAATCACAACTCAAACCTTAAAATTTCACGCCCAAATTCTCGTTAAGGAATTTAACAGAAATTTCAACAACTTTGTTTACAGCTTCAATATTAACCGGATCTTTGAAATCACCCTTAGAACCTGCGAAACCATGGTGCATATCAAACCTATGATGAACGATTTTACTAGCAAATGGTTTGCTGGTAAGAACTGGATCTTTAACATATTGGCTTTCCTAATAAAGATTATTTTTTTTGGAAAAAAAACAATATATATATTTATAACATAAAACACCATTTATTCATAGTAAGCAACCAAAATTTTCCCAAGAAACTTACAAGATCGGGTTCATCTTTAGAAGGTAAAAACGCAATAGGGCATTGACTCTCCTTAAAATCCTCAATTGATAAAAGTCCTGGATGAATTAATACACAAGCGTCGAATGTGGGATCTTTGGAGTGTTTAGAAGCAATCATGCCACCCCAACAATATCCTATAAATCCAAAATTCTGAATTTTATATTCTTTGCGAAGATGATCTACAACTTGAGTAGTAAGTTGATGAACCTTTTCAGGGGGAGCGTTTTTTTCTAACCAATCAAGTACCAGATGTCTTTAGTCGAAGGTTTGATAGGAACGTAGGGATAATTGTTAAAAAGTTACAGTATAAAAATAATTAAAAATTTATTAAAAAAAAAAATTAATGCTTGTTTCTTTTACTTTGAATCCTAATCTTACATTTCATTCTTGAATTTTTCAAATTTTTCAGGAGTCCAAGCATTCCCCTGAAAATAATCGGGCAATACAACAAGGAAACCTATTAGAATTCGGTTCGAAAATCATGTATTTTTTGTCAATGACAGCGACTGCAAAAAAACAAACCAAAAAAATTTATGTAATTTTTTAACACTAGCCTTGAGTTGCCAATATATCACAAAATTGCTTTATGTTTTCATGAAACCCGAAAAAATCATAACAGACGATAACCGCATTTTTGGTTTGAGTTTCAGCGAATGAATCAGGAACTATACAATAGACATCTAAACCAGAGACATTTGTAATTACACCCTTTGGCACGTAATCACTTTTTACTGGAGGGAGTGTTCCGCAAGATGAAGCAATAGACATTTCTTAGTCAAGACTGGTAAAAAATTGGTTGATTTAAGTTATATACACGTTGGAGACTTTATGATTGATTATTACAAATGATTCTCTTGGCATTAACTTTTATGCAGCACCTTGCTCTTTTGTCCGACAAAAAGGTTTTACAAAAAAAAGTTAGTGATCAATCGATTTAAAGAATAACGGTGTTAAGCTTAAATCTTATTCTTTATTTAGTTAAATTCCTTATTTTTGTTATTTCATTGATCTATTTTATGTGTTCCTTATAGGGTAAAGATTGTGGGTGATTTTAACCCAACAAGGATGAATAGCACTCAGGCGGGGTTCAAATATCTCCAAGTTTAAGTGTAGAAGTACAACGCTCAAACTAAAGAAAATAATATACTCTGCTTGTCGCATAATAGCCTTTACCAACCAACTAATTAAAACCGAATCTCTAATAAACATTTACTCCGTGTAACTTGTGTTATGCTCGAAGCTAATCTGTACACATATAATAATGCTCTCACATTCCCGGGTATAACACCGGATACCGGTTTATTATAAACCCGATTATTGTTGTGTAAATATAGTACATATCTATTACTACAGTATATTAAAAAAATAAGTTTCTGCACGGTAATCAACAGTGTTGGCAAAATGTGAACATTGACATTTATAGACTATGTCCATATTTCCCTATTAGACATAAGGCGCTTAGTCCGAATATAGCACGTGGGCTTGCTATTCCGAAATATTTTGAATGAGCCAAAACTAGGGTAATTATCTAAAAAATTTGACCCATGCTGAAATTTATCTGACCGTTGCAGCAATTCATTTTTAATTTTCCAGTACTTTTTACCTGTTTAATATAGGTCTAGCAATTTTTACATGTAGCCTCGACGGGACCTCTATACCAGGAATGGAATGCAATGAAGTGTATGATTATCTGAAGATAATGTGCCTTAAATGGATAATATCCTGATTTAATTTCACCCATTATACATGTGGTATAACTCTATTTGGTTAAGCTCTACACGTACAGTATAAAAGTTTAACATAAGCCCAGTTTTTTTAACTTAGCCGTACTTGACTTTGTAAGAATTACTTTTTTACTATTTTAAGTTTTTTGCAAACTCCGTTCTATAAAGAGAACGTTTATTTTTAATTAATTGCAATGATATCTGATGTATAAGATTCAAATTTACTGTCGCCTTATACAGGTTATTATCATCTCATTTAGGATATTAAATAGCTTATGTATAGATTACGTCACATACCCTCATAAATTATTAATTTAGTTCTGCATAACGTTAAGATGTTAAACGACGATTTTATACAAATATAGTATTAAAGTAAGCGCAAGCTATATCTGTTTCTTACCTAATTTACTCATGCTACTATGTAACTATTTTATTTATTAGTCCTATAATATCCATTTTCTAAAAGTGAAAGGCTTTAAATCAAATTAATAACGATAACTCTTGTTTTCCTATTTGGCTACATTCCTGCTTAATTCGAACTAACTGAACCTTAGACAGGTTGATTATGTAATTCTAAACAAAAATCCATTAGCTAACAAAATCCATCAACTAAACGAAATTCATCAATTTAATTCAAAGACCAGTAGTTATAACCTGAACACACTCAAAGAATAGAAAAATAAAGTATTTGTAAATGGAAGTAAAGAAAAGTACTAAATGATAAAATCAAGTAATGTAAACCAAAATACTCTCAATCTCGTGATCACTACATTATGTGTAGAATATTATGGTATGATTCCCCGAAAGTTACTTCCCCACCAACTCATTTCCCTGACACTATAATGCCGACATGCTATTTCATCTAAAGCATATTTTTTCGATAAGATATATATTCGACATTACATTTTTTCAGCAATCCTTTTCTTAGACAAGCCATTTCCCAGACAATTATTTCTCCGACATATAATTTTAACTCCAAATCAGGTCAACTATAATGCTAGTTCGATCCAATTTTATGTCGAGGAAATGATTGTCGGGAAATGTGAAATGTCTTGTCTAAGGAAAGGATTATTGATGCCGAATATATATCTTATCGAAAAAATGTGCTTTAGATGAAATAGCTGTCGGCATTATGGTGTCGGGAAATGAGTTTGCGGGGAAGCAACTTTCGGGGGAATTGAGCAAAAACCATGTAGAACACTCTAAATATCGGACAAATTATTTCGTGCCTTGATCAATATCTATTATATTCGTGTAGAAAAAAAATTTGTTAATTCAATGTTAACTATTTGTTTATCATTGCAATATCCTTGTCAACCCTATTCCAAAATTGTTCTGATTTTTACGCTGGTTAAGCCTGTCAGTTTTCTTTGAAAATCAACCTAGTCAGCTCTTAATAAAAAAATAAAATTGATACGTTCTATGATTATGCATTTACGTTACAAAACTTCGAATCTAAAATATATTTTATGAGTAAATTCATATTGATTTAAAAATTTTTCTAGATATTAATTTAGAAAATATAATTGTATTATTTTAAATACACATATAAGTAAGGTCCTAAAATATCTACAAATAGATAATGTTTACTAAATATCTAATAAGTTCTTAAAAAATGGATCGTCTAAAGTGGAGCAGAATCACTCGAGATTACGCCAATTAAATTATACGATCCTGACGATCCCGACGAAGCAAAAACGAAAAAAAAATGAAAAACTTGAGAATACAGAAAACGGTAGTCTGAACCTACCTTGGGTATATTAATTAAAAAGTGTAGGAAAGCAATATTGCTTATATAAAAAACTGGATGTTCTATAGAGTAGGTGGGCAATATAAGAAATAAGCTTCGCTAATGATTAGTAATCATTAATAGATACTTTGCGGAGTTTGCCCACCTATTCTATAGAACATCCGAAATTTTATATGAACAATAGGTAAACTAAAGCTTTATCTAAATATTTTAGAGTTCTACATAATATATTCATTGTATGTATGTCTATAGCAGGTAATAGTGGAGGACTATATTTTCTTATAAACATGACTTTGTATATGTAAGTCTTAATAGTATACTGTTGATATGTCGAAATAATTTTTATGATACTATTAATGGTATTATTTGAGTTGTAGCTTTAAATTAATTTTCAACGCAGTCACAGACATTAGACTTGTTACAGCTAAGCGAACTTAATTGAACTTAATTGGTTTGAAACATTTTTTAAAAACTTTTATCAAATTCTATAATTACATTATAACAAACTATTTGAATATGTTCTAAATTAATATATCGTGTATTTTATAGGCTTTAAAAGTAAATAAATATTTATTTATATTCAATTGCCAGATTCGATAAATAAAGAACTATGCGTGTATGTTTTTTTTTTCTTTTTTCTCCTTTAAATTCATATTATATCTTTTTTGCAGACAAAAATTTGCATACGAAACCGTCTTTCATGAACTAAAAAATGGTTTCTTGAGCAATTATACTACATAACCATTTAAACTAGTATTAGTATAAACGCCAACTCTAACATAAACAAATTTAACTCACCAATAACATTCCTAAAACTCTGCGAATAGCGAATCATTCCGAAATCATGTGTAACTTTGAAATCTAACCAAAAAAAATAGCAAAATCTAAAGTAATAGTACCTCGAAGGTTAACTAGCAAATAATCATGTGGCGGCTTCGCCGCCAAGTTTTAGCAAATAATTAGATATAATAGGCAGAATAATGATAATATGACACTGCCAATAGTGTTTGTTAATTAATTATGCCTATTTTAATTGAACTATAAAGTAGGATGTTAATTTCACTCGGAAGGGTTTTAAATTTTACATTATTTATCACATTACAGGATCAGATTCATAGTCACATGGATACATTTTAATCTTAGGGTGTTCTCAAGCACCTTAATCAACCGGTCGGAACGGGTCTGAGGGTAAATTGTTATCAGTAAAAAAATAGTTTAACGAATCAATTGTATTAATTATTACAATGAATAAAACACGTAACGAAAGTTAATATGTCAGAAAGAAAAATTTTATTAGCAGAGGTTCGTTTGACCGACCAAGGGTATATACCATTGTCATGGTTGAATTCGTTACCCCGGGATTTCGTGGTGCTGGGTTCGATCTGGATCGGGCGCATAAATGGCGTGATCGGGATTTGCATGAAATTAATTAAAAGTTAAAATAGTGATTGCATGAACATGTGGTAATCATTAGCGATTAGTAATATTAGAATTGCATGAGAGATGTGAAAGTATGTAATAATCAGTGACGCAAAATAGCGATTAGTAATTGATAAAAGGTATCGATCCCGAATAGGAAGGTATCTAGATTTAAGCTTTTGAACTTGGTAAGCTTGGATAGGTTTTGAGAATCGACAAGCGAGAGGAAGTTTGCCTAGTTAGCAATAAACGATAGCAGAGGTGGAAGTGCCTGGTACGATACACCAGTGCAAGCGAGTGTTCTGTCCAAGAGAAACGAACAAAGACCCCGTATACTGTGGTTCACCACGACACCATTCAAATCAACAAGAGATAGAGGCCCAGACGTCCTTTTTTTATCATAGAGTTGCGTTTATTGGTCGAAATTTTTCATTGATTGATTAGAAAAAATAATTTTTCAAGTACTTCACCTTTTTGCATGATTATCGTCATCATTCCTTAATTTTGACTTGATTCAGGTGTATTTTTCCATATTCAACTAAGTGGTTAAGAATTGTTATGGATCTTCAAATCATTATCAACGTCGCGAATCAATGTTACTTTATTTTAAAAATATTCGCCGCGGTTAGTAGTAAATTCCGAAAAGGAAATAACAGAATTTGGAAGTGTCGTAGATTCTTTATCCTTTCGTTGATCCATTGCTTGCATTAATTTATTTTATTTCTATTTGTAAAAACAATAATTGCTAAATGGTAGTAATGATAAAAACGTTTACTCAAACATCAATTGCAATCAATATTTTAATTAATCATAATACTTGAGCACCAACACGGTCGTAAATTAATCCATTGTGGAAGATACCATATTTCAATCAT